ATTGTCAACCTTTTCTACTTTGTGTTTCTTTTGGTCTTGTTAAAAAAGAAAAACTAGCCAGGCGTGGTGGTGCATGCCTGTAATCCTTGCATTTGGGAGGTTGAGGCAGAAGGATCACTGAGTTTGTGGATAGCCTGGGCTACAAAGTGAGTTCAAATTAAAATAGTTTACTGTTGATTTCTCTGAGTTCATTGAAGAGAAGTATTGTGCTAATATTGTTCAGACAATTAAATGTAACTATCTTAAACTCCAAGTAACTGATTGGAATATAACAATATGCAATCTATATACCATTGTTACTTCCTAATTATTGTGTTTTGAAAAAAAACAAAAAATAAAGAAAATGAGTTCAAGGACAGCCTGAACTGCACAGCAGAACACTGTCTCCAAAAAACAAAATAGAAAAAGAAAAAGAAAAGAAAACCTACTAGCTGAGTGTGATGGTGTAGCTCAGAAGCATCTAGGAGGCTGAGGCAGGAGGATCGCCACAAAAGTTTGAGGCCAGCCTGAGGTACATAGTAAATTCAAGGCCAACCTGAACTACATAGTGAAACCCTGTTAAGCAGTTAAATTAAGCAGTTAAAATTTTCCCTGTTGCTTATGTGCCTTTTCATTTTTTATTTTTGGTACTGGGGATTTTATGTTTTGAGGCAGGGTCTTGCTAAATAACTCAATTGGCCAGGCTGGCTTGACCTTAAGCCCATCCTGCTGACTGCTGGAATCCTGCATTACCTGAGGTCATCTCGTGAAATCAGGCTGCTGGCACAGCTGCACGTTGCTGAGTCACCATTTCCATCTGACTCCAGGAAAAGAACCCTGAACTGATTGGCAGCCACAAAGAACTTCACTCATCACTCATTAGACTGGCAAAATCTACACATCTGATAATATCAAATGTTGATGACTATGTAGGCAACTAGACTCTCTTCTCTGCCTGTGTGTGTTAACAGGGCCACTTCAAAGAACTACCTGTCAATCAGTGTCAAAACTGTGCATAACCCTATGTAGCAGCTCAGAAAGTTAAAGACAGACAAACTCAAACTGGGTGTGGTGGGTGTGTACAAACATAATTCCAACACTTGGGAGGCTGAGGCAGGAGAATCATGCATTCAAAACCAGCCTTGATCTGCATAGTAACACACTGTCTCAAAAACAAAACAAAACAAAGATGGGCAAATTCAAAACTACAATTTAGCAGTTGCTAAACATGTAAGCTAAAAAGATTCTTGGTGCCGTAGCTTTGTGATAGAATATTTGCTCTAGCATAATAGAGGTCATGAGTTTGATTCCCAGCTCCAGGCAGGGTGGTGGGGGAGCCTTCCCATTATGGTTTATAGCTAGATGTCCCCCAAGAGCCTCCTGGGATTAGAAGTGGGGCATTTGGAAGGATGTACAAGAATGTTACAACGCCATTGCTTGCCAGGCCAAAGATTGGAAGCCCCCTGAGTTTCTGACAGGAGACTAGATTGAAAAAATCTAATGCTGTAGACAGCATCTCTCTAATACCAGCTGCACGTGGGGGCCTGGCCAGAGGAGAAGAGCAGTAAGCAAGCCGGGCTCAAATTAATGGCAGTGAAACACTCAGAAAGCAGCTGCTGGGGCTGGGGATTTAGCTCAGCGGCATAAGCCCCTGCCTTGAAAGTAGGCAGTCGTGAGTTCGATCCCTGGTACCGATAAAAACGAAAAAGACAAAAAAACGAAAAAGACAAAAAAAAAAAAAAAAAAAGAAAGCAGCTGCCTACCAGAGACACTGGTGGGAGTGCGCCCTCTACTGGGTGGGTGAGGAAGCCTCATTGCCCCAGGCCCACTGTTCCAGTACTGGTGAGATTAGATGGCAGAAATCCACTGAACTAGGCCAGGGGTGCTTCACTCATGCTGGGCAAGCACTGTGCCTCTGAACTACAACTCCAGCCTGTGCGACTCCTCCTTAAAAATTTACCCTCTACACTCTTCGGGTTTCTCCCACCTCAGCTAGTGTGTCTTCCCTGCTTCTCTGCTGATTTGATCCTAGAACATTTTTGCCCTTTATTCCCCTGCTTAAGTGACTTCCTCCAGTTCCATGGTTTTTTAATGCTAGAGATTAAACCCAGAACCTCATATACTAAACATAAGCTCCCCAGCCCCTAGTTCCATAGCTTTATATACATCTCTGTGTTCTGAAATTTACATTTTTATCCCTGATCAAAATACCCCCTAGTTTCTGCTTAACAGTCAAGATAGGTAAACCAAAATCCTCAGTTCAGCAGTTCCATCCCTACCCCAGCCACATGGATGCCCAACAGATAGCAGTAACATATAACTGAGCAGCCAGTGACACTTCTAAGAGCAAAAGAGGTACTATTAATTCACCGAGAACTATAGACATAACCTGGGGCATACGATCACCCTGTATTATTGTGGCCTTTCCACCATAACACATTCAAAGTGGAAATCTCCAGTCTGCCCTGTAATATGTCCCTCCCTCCACTTCCCTCCATCCAGGTAAAAGGCACCGCTGCCTACCCATTTCCTAAAAACAAAAACCTAGGAGTCCCAGCGGGGAACCCTGTCACCCTCAGTTCTTTCCTTTATCTCATCTTCCACATGATCTCTCCATGAATTCCATAACACTGATGGCAGATTGCTTGTGGATCCTAACTGTGTCCCCCCTTTTCCACAGCAAGCACCCTGGGCCAACCAACTTCAGACTCTTGCCCGTTACTGGTTTTCCTCCTCCCACCCTTGTCCGCTCCAGTCTGTTTCAGCTCAGCAGGCTAACTCAGGGCCTAACTCAGATCACGGCATCCCACAATTAAAAGCATTCCACAGTGAAGGAATCCTGCCATTGGCAGTAACACAGATGAATATCACCAACCTAAGGCTCAGGAAAGAAGCCAAACAGACACGAAAGTATAGACTGATAAGCCCTTTATACAATGTCGAGGAAATGCTCATCAGTGTCACCAAAGGGCTCAAGAGTGAGCTCCTGGGGCTGGGGATTTAGCTCAGCGGCATAAGCGCCTGCCTTGCAAGCAGGCAGTCGTGAGTTCAATCCCTGGTACTGATAAAAAGGAAAAAGACAAAAAAAAAAAAAAAAAAAAGAGTGAGATCCTGTTCTGGGTGTTAGATGCACAGGAGTATCTGATTTGTGACAATTTTAATGAAGCCTATGTGTAGCCATGATTATATATCTCACATCTTTTTTTAAGTACTGAGGATTGAACCCAGGGCTTTCCCAACGAGCTGTAGCCCCAACTGTATTTTAGTTTTTATTTTGAGACGAGGTCTTGCTAAGTTGCCCTTGCTGGACTCAAACTTGTTAGCCTCTCAGAGTGCTGGGAGCATAAGCACGCACCCCTGTGCCCAGTTATATATTAACTAAAAATTTTAAAGCAAATGACCCTTACTCAGTTTTCCCTTGTGCTTAGAATAAAGCTCCAATCCCCTGCTCCAGCAGCCGGCAAGGATTCCAGGATCTGACTCCAGGCCAGACTGTAGCGTCTGCTTTCCATTCTTTTCTTTGGCTTTGCCACAGTTGCCTTCTTTGTTTCTCCAATGATCTAGGTCCTCTTCTGCCCCAGGGTCTTTGTCCTGGACATCACTCCCTCCTAAATGCTTTCCTTGATCTTCTAAATGATCAGGTCTTTTATGGCATTTTTCATTCTGTGTACTGTATTTTGTTTTGTTTCCTTCCCAGAAAGCAGGTAACAAGGAACGATTTGGAAGCTGTGTCTGGCACTTATTCCAGCGCTTCATCTTTATGCTTTTGTTATCTGGACCATTCCCCCACCAAGCTCAGGCCCCCAGGGGAAAGGCGTCTTGTTTTCTGTGTTCTGTCACTTTCCCAGAGACTGATATACTGCTGGGCACCCACTAGATGCTTCAGGAGAAAGGATGCTGTTGAAGCAGCCAGACCAGTGTCAGAGGCTCAGAGGCAACAGCAGTGCCCTAGGACTGAGACCTGGGTGCTGGGCACTGCCGGAGAAGAGGAGAGGGCAGAAACAGAGTTGGCGGACAAAGTTAACCTTCTGGGACTTCCGGGCCTCTCCCAAGATAAAATCCCAGTTCTCACCATGGCCCAGAGCCTGACTGATCCGGCCCACCAACTGTCTGCTGCCTCTTCCTCTTCCTTGTCCACCTTGCTTCCTCCTCCCCAGCCTCTTTCCTCCTGGCCTGGCCTTCTGAACATCCTCCCAGCCCCAGACCTCTGCATTCCGTGTCCCTCTGCCAGCGGCTCCCTCCTGAGACTTCCTTGTGCTCTCCCTCACCTCCCTCAGCCCTGGCTCCAACGATGCCTTTCTTCTCCATTTGTGCCCTCTCTCCGTTTTGTGTTCTCCCACTCTTCTGGAAGCTCACCCTCCGGCACACTGTGTGCTCCCCTGGTTCATTTACCACCCACCACACTGCTAGCTTCTCAGCAGCTAGATTCCACGCCAGATCTCTCTGACCCAAGGCATTTGCTTTTAGGCTTCAGGAACCTGCAGCCACATGAACACCCTGCACTCGGACAAGGGGCTAGCAGGGAGGTGCACCCATCTACAGACACCTTGGAACACCCACAAGGCCACCAGGGATACCTCCAGCTTGTGGGCTCTCATGGAGCAATTTGTCAATCCTGGCCTGAGGTACCCATAACTGCATCCCCCAAATCCTCTGGTACTGGCAGCCTCCAGCCATCAGCCTTCCCCCAGGCTGGCAGGCACCAGTTCCTGGCAGAGGGGCCAGTGTGTAATTAAAACTTTGAAAGCTCCCTAATTGCCAGTTCTTCTCAAAAACTGGGAGGCTGGTACTATTCTGAGCCATCCCCGTTGCTGTCCTGAGGCATGTAAAGAGAAACAGGCAGAGACCAGGGCCAGGCTGACATGGAGGTGGCCCTGGAGAGGGCTGGAACATGGCCAGAGACCAAACGTGGCACCCTGGCACGGAGAGGGCTCAGAACTGTCTGCTCTGTGGCCGCCTCCCTGCCTCCCCTCCCCCACAACTTGCTTCCGCCCTTGCTCAGAACTATGACATCAAACAAGCCGGGCCCATTCAATCTTTATTCAGGTGGCATAAAAATCACTATAAAAACTTTACAAAAGAGCCTCAGGGAGCTAACGGGGCCCTTCCCTGCCTACATCCCTGAGCTTCTGGGCACAGGAGGGAGACCAGAAAGAGGAAGGAAGGAGTCCTAGCAGGGTCAGCATATCTGAGGACCAGCAGGGAGACTGGGGTGGCTGGGCATTGGGAGCAGGCGGAGGCTGGCCTGGCCGGCCAGTTATACCACCTTCTACCTTACAGAAACAGGCACAAGGCCCCCTGAGGAGCAGAGGCCCACAGGAAGCTGTCTGATCCTAGGATGATACCCTGCCCCCCAAGGTCCCACCATAGCTCTCCTCTCCCTAGGCAGCATGTTAGAGACCTGTCCAAAGGCAGACTCTGGCTCTTGTGCTTACAAGTGCCCCCGATGATTTGAGGACTGACCCAACCACCTCCTGACAAAACCAGACTGCAGCTGCCCTACCACCCAGACCCCAGAAAGGATACCCTTCGAGCCACGTTAGAGGAAATGAAGTGGGATCCCGCCAACAATTCCCTGATGCCTGCCCTCCGGCCTGCCCACCCACCCTAGACATCCCGGGAAAAGCCAGGAGACAGCAGGTCCTCTCCCTGCTTCTCCCAGCCTGTCCCGTCCCACAAAGCTGGTTGGAAAAAGTCACAAATTGAAAGGATGGTCCAGGTAGGGGACTCGGGATTCTGGTGGCCACAGCCCCTCACTTGGGGATGATAATATGGGGGTAATCATCCTCTGAAGGGGGTTCAAATTTCAAGTCAGGGCTGAAGGACTTGTCCCAATAGGGGAAGCCTTTCTGTCTGTAGATCAAGTCCTTGGTGTCCGGGGAATCCTGCTGCTCCTGGAGTTGGGGCTGTGCGCTAGGGTTGGGGTTCCTCACGCTGCCCACAAATAGGGGCAGGCCTGTGGTATCTTCAAGGATGAAGAAGAGAAAGGGGCGATTCACACTGAAGGAGGAGAGGGACATGCGGGACATGGCCGTGCTGGTGGCCGCAGCTGCCTCCACGCCAACCTCACTGAGCTCCAAGGTGGACTGATGCTGCACACTGGACACCACCAGTCTCTGGTCAGAGATCCCACGCAGGTCTGGGGCCTGGAACAGCTCCTGCAGGCCTGGCCAGGGCAGAGATGGCTGATCAACACTGCCCACCGCCCAGCAGTCTGCCTGGAGCTGCTGGTACCCTAGCCAGGGAACACCTCATACTCAGCCTTCTACTTGGCTTCTGTTTAACCTTTATATCTAGCGTAAGTGTCACTTCCTGTAGGAAGCCATCCCTGGATTAAGTCCCTCTTCAGTATTCTCCCCAGTGAGCAGGAGAGATCACTTAGGCTGAATTGTTAGGACTAATTCCTCAGGTGCCCACCCGTTAAACTGGGCATTTTGTATGCTCCCAGTGCCTAAGAAAATGCCTGGAATAGAAAAGTTGTGTAGCAAACAGCTGCTGGGAAGATGTGTCACTTTAACACATCTCCTTCCTCTTACAGAGGCTCAGATGCCACGCTGGGCTCTCTACCCAGCATTCTTTGCAGTTCTCGGTCTCAGGGATCAGAATTGGTCTCCCTCCCCTGGAACGTCCAGCCCTCCCCAAGGCAGAAACACCAGGGATTCATATCAAACCTTCTCACCTTCTTTTAGCTACGGAAAAGTCCAGGACACAGGCCAGCTGTGACTCAGTCCCAGGGTCAGCCAGAGGCCTCTTTCCATACACACCGCCCAGTCCCACCCAGAGGTTGCCCATGCATAGCCTCCTTACCCAGTTGGCTGAGGGTGGACACCAGATCCAGCTGGTGTTTCAGATGCAGCTTAGGCAGCCACACCTTGGTGGGCCTCTCTCGCAAGGAGGGCTGGTTCAGGGTGTCCCAGGTCAGGTTGGCCAGTACCTGGGACACGTTCCACTTAAAATGAGTGGGCACCATGACCACGAAACTCATGTTGTTCTTAAAGGGGAAATGAGCCACCTGCAGATAAGGGAAGTGGGGAGCATGAGGCCCAGAAAGCATCCAAACCTAGCTGGTGTCTGAGCCAGTACCACGCTCCTGAGATGGATGGGCTACGCAGCTCAGTCTACCCCGATCAGCTGTGTGCTTGACCTCCCCATGCCTTCCCTTTTTCCTGCTGGAGTGACACCATCTGCCTCACGTTGCCAGGTGAGTAAATCTGATCGTGCTTTTAAACCTTCCAGCAGCATCTGCATCTGCCAAGCCATGCTTGGTGAATGGTAGGGTTCTCACTTTCTAGCTAGCTGTGTGAACAGGCTGAGAAACTGCTCTGCCTCTGTTTCTCTGCAATGTATGGGTCACTAGTTTCCAACTAGCATTCTAAGGAGGAGCCATCACAAAGCTCAGTATCCTCTCTACTCCTTTTTACCCTCACAAAGTGATTTACCAGCTGTGTGCATTATTGAGCTATTGAGTCAGATCTTATCTGAACCAGGTGTGGTGGCACACACCTGTAATCCCAGGACTTGGGAGGCTGAGGTGGGAGAATCACCATGAGTTCAAGGTTAGCCTGGGCTATATAAACAAATTCAAGGCCGCCCACACTGCATAGTGAAACCCTGCTTCAAACCAAAAACCAAAAATCAAGCCAAAACAAAAAAGATCTTATCTGAAGGGACCCCTACAGCTAAGGAGCGCACAAACCACTCAGCTTGAGTGTCTTTTGTGGCCACGACTCCCTGAATTCCACCGTAGCACCCTGTGCACAGGCTCCCTGCTGGGGGACAGCATCAGGCCTTCTGCGGAGGGACTACAGGAAGGGAAGGTCGTGAGATGGAGAGACGGAGATAAAGGGTGAAGGGAGAGGGCAGACACAGCCCACAGGGAAGAAGCAACAGGAAGAAAGCCTGTGGGGAAGCTTGTCAGACTGTCACTTTGGGATGAGCAGGACAGAAACTGGGACCTGGATGCAGGGCGCACTTGCCCTGCTTACAGACACTGCCGGTCTCCCCAACAGTTCCTTCCTGAAGCATTGATTATGCTCTGTGTCGTGGTCACCTTTCAAAACCAACTAACGCTGCTGTCTCAGCCACAGCTGATTGGTCCAGGAATGAATACTCTGTCAAATGGAGCACATTTAAGCCAAAAACCAGGCAGGGCATGCCTGAGGCAGGTTGGCACAAAGCTATCCAGACAGAATGTTCTATGCCCAATGCTGAGAAATGTAACAGCATTAGATTCTCTAAGCACTGGGTGAGAGCTCAGATCAAGTCAGGCTTGTGTTGCTGAGATCCTGATTGGTTACACAGCTGCTGAGATGGTCCCTCTGCTGCCTTACAACCCTCATAAGGAACCTTCATCACGAGGATGAGGGTACAGCTCAGCCATACGGTGCTTGTGTAGCATGTATGAGGCTCTAGATTGGATCCCCAAGACCACAGAAACCAAAAAACAAAACATAAACTCTTATTGCTGAAAGTCCCTTGAGTCTCAGCTCAAAGAATTCTCCTTGACCGTGCTCTCTAAAATACCTTCTCCCGAACTGGACATGGTGCTGTGAGCCTATAGTCTCAGCCACTCGGGAGACTGAGGAAGGAGGATCACCTGAGGCCAAGAGTTCAAGGCCAGCCTGGGTGATACAGCAAGAGCCCATCGAAAGAAAGAAAGAAAGCAATCATTAACAGAGGATCTTTTTCTTTCCTTCATAGCACTTACCTCTCTCTAAAATGAGAGGATTTATGTTTGCTCCTATACTGTGTATCTTCACTCTTAAGGCAGGGCCCTGGTTCCCCTTGGGGTCCCATTAAACCCCAGTGCCTTGGGGCTGGGGGTTTAGCTCAGTGACATAAGCGCCTGCCTTGCAAGTGTGCAGTTGTGAGTTCGATCCCTGGTACCAATACAAAGGAAAAAGACAAAAAACAAAACAAAACAAAAAAACCCAGTGCCTGGAACAGTACCCGGCATACCATCCAATATATTTTCACCAAATGAATGAACCTCAAAGAGCCTGGCACCTTGGTCTGCTTCTCTGGGGTTATAGTGGGACCTTTCACAGCTGCCTGTCCCCCAAATATGACTACAAGGAAGATGGGGCACCCATCATAGCCCTGTGGCTGCCCCATAGTCTGTCCCGCCCTTCCCTGCCTTTCAGCACTCAGACGCTGCCTGCTGGGCGACGAGGGGTGACCTGTATCTCAGGCTGCTCCAGCAGGAACCATCGCAGAGGGTACGCATGGGCTTGCATCATGTCCACGGGGACTGTGAACTGCTCATCCAGGTGAAAGGGTTCTTGCTGAGTGAGGCTCGGGTCAAACTTGTTCCTCCAGAAACCTGCAGCCAGGGAGGGCACGAGGCCATGTAGACTGGGGCCAGCCTCTCTCCATCCCACCTCAAACCCACCCAGAGGAAGAGAGGTGTAGGCCAAGCCCCAGGAGAGGCAGTGCAGGATGGAACTGCTCGATCCAAGGTTTCTTCTCTGAAGCATTTTTGAAATCTGGGCTTCTGTTTTCTCCATTCCCTGCAACACCGCCAGGAGCCCACCCGAGTCTTTGTGGCCCATTTTTCCCAGGGTGGTCCTGTTCCAGGCCCCCACCCCACCATACCCAGACCATGTCCTGCCTCATGGCCTGGCCTGCATTGCAAGCAAAGCCCTCAGAACAGGGCCCACTTAGCTCTGCTCAGCCTCCAGGGTGAGGACAGAGCTGCCTAGCAGGGGACTTGGGAGAGGAGGGGCATACTCTGGAAGTGGATGGCATTGAGAAGAAGCAACACGGTGTCTTCCGACAGCTCTGAGAGGAAATTCTCAATCTTCCCTTCTGTGACCTCCTTCACCCATTGATTGATGTTTGCCACATCATCTTCCTGCCTTCCCATCAGGTTCACAGGCTTTGCGCCAAAAAGCTGTTCTGACTGTTCCAGGAATTCTTCTTTGATGGGAAATCCTGTGCACAAAGGGTGCAAGGTGTTCACTGGGCCCAGGGCTCCACAACCACCTGGTCTCCAATTGGCTACCTGAGGCCAAGCCCATCTCCCGAACCCTTGGTCCACCACAGGCCACCCTGTAGGTGTTTCCTGCTGTCAGCACTTACCTTTCTGCAGGTACATCCTGGCAGCCATGCGGAACGTCCCAGGGCCCAGGTGCTGGCACATGTGGCTTAGCAGATGGGGAAGGCAGGGCCCCAAGTCTGCGTGCAGGACCTTTTGCAAGCTCCGAAGTGTTTGGTTCTGAGCCCCTGGAGGGGACCGTGTGGGCTGAGGCCTGGGCTATGGGTCCTTTCCAACCCTACCACCCACTGCAGCCCTCTGAGAGACCCATGACGAACATGCCGAAGGGACCACACGCTCTCCTCCCACGCCTACCGACTGACAGGACTCTCGGGTTCTACTTTTAACTCTGTTGCTGCCAGGCCGAGGGCAAGCCTCACTCAGGGTCCCTCCCCTCTACAAACCCCACACTAAGACTCTTAAGCCGAATGGGAGATATTGTAGCTATCAAATTCTAGCATAAAAATCATATTCTCCAGCCCAGCACCTGGGAATCTGATTCACAGAGACCTGAAAGGGCCCAGGAATCTGCATTTTTACCAAATGTTTAAATGACCCTGATGGAAAAGCACTTGTTGGTAACCTCTGGAGTAGAGATCCTCCTACTGGCCTCCCAGTTCCACTGGCCTGGACAGATGCCACCACAGTACCTAGTGCCAGGTGAGACAGTGCCAAGGCCACACTCAGGGGTGACAGGATGAGGTTGGGGCTGGTGGACGTTTGGGATACCACAGAGAATAGGTCAGCACTGAAAGTCATCATGGCCTGGGCAAGCCTGTGGATCTCCTCTGGGGTTGGGGGGTTTTTGCAGTCTCCTGGGGACTTCTTCAAGGCAGTCTGGTCAACAGGCTCCTACCAGGACAGGTCAGGCAGGGAGGTCAGGCAGGGATCAGTGAGGTCAGGAGGTCAGCTTCAGGTTACATATGGAATATCTCTATCGTAGCCTCTCTGCCCAAGGGTGGTGGACCTTGTCCCAGATCCAAGCGAGAAGGAGGGTCACATTGGGGGTCCTTCCCACCCCTTTCTTCCAGCTTCAGCTTCTGTCTCATGGCCGCTCCCCTCAAGTCCCTCACTCTTGCTAGTCAACCCCCATCCCGCTGGTCTTGTCCACTCTTCCCCAGCCCCACCTGGTTGTACCTGATTGTCCAATTTGAGGAGAACAAGGGGAGACAGCTTCTCCTGGGCTGGCCCACTACCTATCTGCAAAAGGAGGAAGCTGATGAACAATGACCCTCCCCAGAAGTCCCTCCACTTAGTACAAGCACAGGCTAGAGGCCTTGGAGCCCCCGCCTCTCATGCTCACCTCACTGGCCGAGGGCTCCATGGCGCTCACGGGAGAGAGCTGTCGAGGAAGGGGTGAGGGTAGAAGAGGGAGCTCCTTACAGCCAAGCCCTCCTTGGACCTGAGCTCCCCTCTTCTTCCTTCAGCCCCTCCGCCCTCTTCCACCCCCACACCTATCAATGTCATATTCAACTTGCATATCCCGTCCCACACGTCCTCAGTGAACCTCACCACAGAGCAGGGATGCAGAAGGCAGGACAGGCCAAGCACCAGGATCCCCCGCAGCAGCACCATGTTCCTGGGTCAGGGATAGGGTGGCTCAGTGCCCATCTCAGACTCCCACGCCAGGCAGCAGACCCTACCTGTGTCACTGCTGCTGCCAGGTTACCGACCAGGACACGCACTGGTTTTCTGTCTTAAGGCTGGGATTTCCCCCCTTGACCTGCTCCCCTCTGTGAAAAGTTTGTGGGTTTTCACGTTTCATGCGCTGATGGTATTTAGGTTTATAGGGGTTTGGTAGGAACTTCTTTCTTCCCGGCCTTGTATTGTAAATCAGACCTGGGTTTGAATCCAGGCTCTGCCTTTCACCCAGAGAACCTTGGGCACTCCCTTAACCACATTTAGGCTTTGCCTTATCCTGGAAAGTGGTGGCAGGAGTCCCTAGGGATTGGGCCACAATTCCACGCAGATTGTGAGGACCAAAATAAGACATTCTTTGTAAATGCTGCGTACAATGCCTGGCACTCAGAGGACAGCAGGCATCAGCCTAGCTCCCAACACACACTTCTGGGAAGCCTGCCCCAAGCCTCTCAGAAGGGTTCCCACCCCACTGCTCCTAGCCAACCTGCTGTCCATTGGGCCAGCCTTTCTGAGGCTGGCTAGGACTTTCTCAAAAGCACAGACAGGCCCATGAGGCCCTGAAGGCTCAGCAGAGGTGGTGGCATGGCCAGACAGCTCCCTTGCTGACCTAGTAGCACAGCTCAATGAATGACTCTGGCCCCACCACCTTTGAATAAATGACATACAGGAATCATAGGCCTCACCACTGCCACCCCTACACTGCCCCAGGCTGGTCTGGGAAAGCCAGGCCAGCAGGTAGGGCTGGGCAGGATAAATAAGTCCTGGCCTTGGCCTTAAGGGTCTCATTCCCCACCACCACTACACCCTGCTCCAACCTAGGCCGACCCTTCCAGAGGATCCTTCCATCACCCCATCCCACTGAGGGCCCTTGCCAGGGCCTGATCTCAAACCTGGGTGCTTCAATCTTTTTAGTAAGAAAACGCTTCATTTTTTAAGTCTCAGGAGTCCTCCTGATGCCTCAGTCTTGGCTCCTCAACACACTAGGAGGCTGTGAAAGCACAGGCACCTCAGCCAAGTAGGCAGCTCCCCGCTGGTCCCCAACCCAAGGAGAAGCCAAGCCACCCCTCCGTCCTACCTCTGCTGGCCTCTCGCTGCTGCACACAATGTTCCTCTGGCTCTACCCAGGTGCTCCCCACACTCCAGCCAGCCTGGCCTAGGTCTGCCCTCCCACCAGGACCTTTGCTCTTAGCCAACCCCTGCTCAGCTTGCTTCTCTCTGGTAAATATTGACCTGCATATCCGGTTAAACATTGATAAAGAAGCCAGAAGCCCCTTTCCCACTAGGGCATCTAATTCTGAGACAGACACCAAGGCCTCTATGGATCAGGATCCCACCTGAGCCTGGAAAAAATGAAGTTCAGAGGAGACAGTGGAAGAGGCTGGGCCTGACTCTATAGTAAATCTTCTAGTGACCCCACAAAATGGGGATTATCCCTGATAGGCTCAGAGAGGCTACGTGACCTGACCAAGGCCACAGAGCAGGGCCCAGAGTGACACCGATTCCTATTTCTAATGTCCTCTCCACCTCCAGAGCTGCCTCCCCCACCTTATAAAACTATCAGGGCCAGGGATTTAGCTCAGCAGCACAGCACCTGCCTGGCAAGTGCGAGGTCATGAGTTTGATTCCCAGTACCAAGAAAAAAAAAAGTGTGAATAACAAACTTGTTATCAGCAGGGGCCAGAAGATAAGTGGTGGCAAGAGCAGAGATGCTAAAGGATACAACTCCTCTCAGCACCCCATCTTTTCAGGAGCAATGCTTGAGCGATGAGGCTCTAGGAAGTGGCCCAGGGCTAGACAAACCAGAAACTCTGCATTTTGTACCTCCAAAAGAGCAACCATCCAGGTGTGGTGGTACAGGCCTATAGTCCCAGCATTTGGAAGGCTGAAGCAGGAGGATCACCACAAGTTTGAGCCCAGCCTGGGCTACAGTCCAAGACAGCAGCCTGAACTACATAGTGAGATCCTGTCTCAAAGAAAAAAAAAAGTGGCCATCAGGTTGCCTCCCCGTCTTACTGTCCTACTCCTCACCCCTTCTTTGTTGTCCTGGACGCTACTGAGTCTCAAGTTTCCCCATTGTGTCACCACTATCAAGGTAAGTCATAACCCCAATGTACCGGCATACTTGCAAAATCCCGGCCCAGGTAAAATAATAACACCACGTCCCAGAGAAGGAAAAACAAATCAAGCCTCACTCCATGGCTCTTCCAAAGGATTTATTGATCATATTTACATCTATTGCAAATAGTGAAGAGGCAGTAGGGGCCAAGCTCAGACCTCAGCTCTGCACCAGATGAAGACCCAGAGACGTCTGGGTCTTCCTGCCCCTCGGAGAGACCTGAGATGCAGAGATGATTCTTCCCACCTCTTCTCTCACCCCCCAGGGGCTCTGGACCCAGCAGTTGCCTCCTCAGCTCAAGGCACACACACTGTGGTGAGGAGGTGGAGGCAAAGCCCGGTCACTCCTGGCAGACGCCGGCTGGCCCAGCCCACCCTTTCTCCCCTGCTCCTGTCTTCTTGCTTCACTTCCTGGTCCCACATGGAGTAGGGCCTGGGCGGACAGTTAAACCTCAAACCCCAGCCCTTAACTCCTGGGTCACGGCCAGCTCTCCTTAGGCTCGAGTCCAAGCACCATCATTGTCCTAGACTAGGACAGCTTCTTGTCCCTGGGGACAGGGGCAGAGAAAGCCCAGTAAAGGCAAGGGTTGAGGGGAGCTTGGCTAGACACTGACTGGGCAAATCCAGTCTCCCTCGCCCTTCCTGGACCTCCCTCGTCGCCATGTGGACCTAGAGGAAAGAGATAAATTTCCCTTGCTTGCCTTACTATCTGCTGGCAGGAAGTAGCAACTCCCCAAGCCTTGAGTGAGACTCCTTCTGGCAGCCCTAATGGCACTGGGGATTCAGGAGCTGCTCCCCAGGCAGAGGCCTTAGTTGGAACAGCATGAGCCCTGGCTTGTCTGGTGGGATAAGTGTGAAGAGCTGAACTCCCAGGGAATATTAGCCCCCTTCAAGCCCAGCCAGCTCCCCCATGAGCCTATGCCAGGAGACGGATGACGCCATTGTCTGAGCCCAGCAGGAGGTGGCGTTTCGTGGGCAGCAAGGCCAAGCTGGTGAGTGTGCCACGGAAGTTCTCGGAACTGAGCTTTGTGGTGGCCTGGGATGGCGGCTCAAGCAGGGAGCAAACGCCAATCTTGTTGGCCACAGTGCCGGTGACTACCTCACTGCCATACACATCAAAGGTGTGGATGGGGTCCGAAGCTGACTTGTAGTGGTGCGTAGGCTTCTGTTCCAGCTCCTTCCAGACAGTCAAGGAGTGATCGGAGGAAGAGCTGATCAAGACACTGCCCTCCACTGCCTGCCAGGGGAGCAGAGAGACTTAATGGGGGCCTGAGGCCTCCTGTACACCTTCCTGGCCCCAAGGTCTTCGAATTTCCTCTCACAACACACTGGGAAGACAGGCCATCCCAAAAGGTGGCAGGTTGCCACCCTGATACACCATATAAACATATAATGTGGTCATCCACAGTTAACAATAATACATTGTGTAATTAACCTAGCCGTCACTGTCATTTGAGAATTTATCACGTGTAGGCTTTGTACCAGGCATGCCCCAATACCACATTTAACCTTAAAAACAGGCCTATGAGGGTCAGGGATTTAGCTTAGCGGCATATGCCCCTGCCTGGCAATCGTGAAATTGTGAATTCGATCCCTGATACCAAAAACAAAACAAAAAAACAAGCTTATGGTGCCTGTAATTCAGAGGCTGAGGCAAAAAGATCACCATGAATTTGTGGCCATCCTGGGCTACACAGTTAGGTCAAGCCCAGCCTGCACTACAAAGTGAGACCCTGTTGCAAAAAAACCCCAAACAACCACCACCACCAGAGAACAAAGCAAAACAAAACAAAACAGAAACAGCAAAAACCAAGTCTATGGTGCAGATGATGCCATGACCTCCATTTTTGAGGTGGGGGGAAGGACACAGATTCAGAGAAGGCATCATTCCGAGGGGATGCAGCTTGGTAGTACAGAGCTTGCTCAGCACATGTGAACATGTGAGCCCTGGGTTCCACTCCCAGTGCCAGAAAAAAAAAAAAAAAGAAAGAAAGAAAAAAGAAAGAAAGAAAAAAAGAAAAGAAAAAAACAAGAAAGAAAAAAAAAAAGAGAAAGTAATCCTATCAAGGTCACGAAGCTAGAGAGTGGCAGAGCCAGGACTAACACCAAAACTGCCTGGAGCTCTCCTCACACTTTCTTGGAATGTTTAGGGATGCCTGGAACACAGCAGGAACCTGCCTTTAACAACAGCAATGCTAGTCCACTGGCAACCCAAGCTGGACAGGACAGTCTCAGTTGTTTGGAGAAATTCTCTCACCTCTGTTCCTCCCTCACAGACCTTGCTGAGCAGTTCCCTGTGATTTAGAATGGGGTGCTGGGGCAGGGGGCAGAGCAGGATCCCCAAGCCCAAGCATACTCCTGCCCTCACCGGGACAGCCCAGCCAGGGGCATGGACTCTGCTCAGTGGTCTGGGGGCAGTAAACAGCATCCCAGCTGAGCTTTATTTAACCTGAACTGGGTCACGGACAGGGCCTGACCCCTGATCCTCCAAGCAAGATAAATATGGACAAGGGTTACTCATTAGAACATCTCCTTGGTGCAGCAGGGTTAGCTCTGCCCTGGGTTCCCACCCCCAGAGCCTGCCTCCTACTGGGGTGCTGCTGAACTTAAGGGACATCCTGAGCCTGTCCCTGCGCAGGCCTTAAGGACAGGTTAGGGGCTGGAGGCCAGCATGAGAAGGGGAAGGGGACCAAGCTGTCATTACCTTTATCTGCAGAATGTCTCCCTCATGGGCTGGCCAGCCTCGCAGAACCAGGCCCGTACGGGTATCCAATAGCACCATAAAGCCTGAGGAGAAGCCAGCCACGACACTACGGCCACTGGGGCTGACTGCCAGGGATCGGACGAGCCCAGGATTCAGCCCACCACCCAGGCGGAACTCGTGCTGCAGGCAGAGAGAGATTGTGCTGAGGTGCTGCCACCCACTGCAGCCGCTTCCCCTGAGGTCCTGCTCATCACCCAAGCCCCACGTGGCTGAAAAGCCTGGGCTTTAAGCTCCATCTAGGGGAAGAAAAATCTCAAAACCCAGGCCAGCGTCCTGTCGGTCCACAGAGTGTTTGCTGTGAGAGACAGGCCCGTCTATCTCCAAAGAGAAATTCACAAGTACCCCAGGATAGCAGCTGGCTCTCTCTGTGTGAGTCTTCTCCTGCCAGGGCCCCAGAGAACCAGGAAAGGGACACCCTCTGACCTGTAGGCCAGGCTTCCTGCAGTCCACAAAGCGCAGGGTGGAGTCGGAGCTCGCCATGGTGATGCTGGTGTGGGGGGCAGGTACAACGGCCACAGCAGTCAGGGGTCCCCGGCTGTCTGACGGCTCCACTGTGCGAAGGGTCTTGCCTGGAAAGGAAAGGCCTGGTGTATCTGGGGTCCCAGTGGCCAATGAAAAAGCCCCTTGGCTTACCCCACACCCAACTCCCATCCCCCAGGGATCCTCATAAAGTGCTAAAGATGTTTCTGGACTTTTCCCACCTTCCTCCTTCCATGGCAAGGTGGGTTTTGATTCCCAGAGCAACCTCTTTCTTCACACAGTACCCTCCGATAAATGGCACCTCTCTGGATCTGCCCGTGTCTACTCCTTGCGTCTCATTCCATCCCCTCCCTCTTTACAATCATATCGCTCCCTACGATGCCAAAAAGCTATCAAGCAACCATTAGTCAACTACGTACTACACCCTACACATGAAGCCAAACTCCTAGGTGTTCAATCTTCTAAACCAGATTTCCAGATTCTCATTTTATAGATGCAAAATTGGATGCCTTCAGCAGCCAAGCAATTGCTCAAGTTCACACAGCAGGTTAATTGGCAGAGCAAACTGAAACACATATCTGCACTCTAAATGCTCCTCTTTCTGGCCTCCTTGGGTTTCCTTCTACAACTTATCATTCTGCACACCCCAGCAGGCCCCCATTCCCAGTGGCCCGTTGGGGCCTGGTATAGCAGCACCAGAACAGGCCTCACCTGGGCCCGCTCACCTGTGAAGGGGTCCCAGACGTGCACAGCCCCGTCACAGCTCACCACATACTGCGGGGCCTCAAGTTGGCCCACATAGAAGACACTCTTGCGGTGCTGGGCATAGATGAGGCGGGGGGCTGTTTCGCTGGTGCCATCCCCATAGTTATAAAGTGGCCAGAGGCGCACAGTACGATCCTTGCTGCCGCTCAGGAAGAAGTCCTCGCTGCTCAGGGGCGCCACACACTTGACCGCCCCCGAGTGGCCAGGGAAGCTCTGAAGGCGGATCTGGTGGAAGTGGAAGTGGGCATCCTGCTGGCTCACACCGATCTCGTACTGCCAATATGCCAGCCAGTTCCCGCTCAGCCCGTGGGCACTCCGAGGCAGCTCTCGCTTCAGGGCGTTGTCTTCATTCCCACAGCCAAGGTCCCCACCACCCACTCCAGAGATGGGGCCCAGCGGGCCAGGGCTCTCAGGCTGAGAGTCACTGGGGATCTGGATTCGGTTCCCAATGAGGACACTCCCAAAGGTCCCTGAGTGGCCATCATCCTGGGAGGAGCCCCCACCCTGGGAGTCCCACTCAGGGGCAGTTCTGGGCACAGTGGGTTCCACACTGGCAGGGTTGTGACTGCTTGGGTTCATGCTTTCCAGGTACAGCCCCGCCAGCTCCCCAACCAGCTCGTGGTTGGGGACGATTTTCCAGATGATGTCACCTGGATGGGAGTGAGAGAGGTCCTAAAATCAGGGAAGATGGCAAGTGGCTGCCACCACCCATCCAAGGACTTAGAAACCACAGAAAACAGGAACGGCACTGACTGTACAACTCTAAGAAGTCTCCTCATCTCTGACCTTGGTTTTCTTCCAAATAAAAGATAGAGCTACTCACTTAATACATATATGTATGTGCCATCTCCACAAGGTAGGTATCATGCTGGGCATTGGAAATAGAATGGTAACCAGACAGGTGGTACCCTGTCTTCCTAGGGCTTAAAATTCAGTAGGGAGTAATAACACAACTAGGGAGATAAAATATGGAAATACCCAGCATAGTGCTTGGCCCATAGCAAAAGGTACAAAAATGGTAGGCCACACACCACTTTGCACACAGCTTAGGAAGACCATCAGTACATTCATCTCCCACCCCTTCCTTCCCCAGGCCATCCTCTGAGCCTGTCTTTAGGGCTCATGCCAGTCCTTGTTTATATGTCGCCTTGGGACTTGGGGTCTAAAGCAAAATCCCAAAAAACTGTACTTAAAACCTTCAGATGACTGTGGGGGTGGAGCATGGGGCCTTTCCCTGGGAAAACATAGCCAGAAGGCTGGGTAAAGGGACATGAGAGCGTAGTACCCAACAAGCAGGAGAAGGGCACGTAGATTGTGTATGCCATCTCCAGGGTGAACACCTTCTGCAGCTCATCCAACAGGCTGGGGTCCACTGGCCGCCGCTGCCCATCGGAGAAGACTGCCTCAGGCAGCTGGCCCTCTTCGCATCCCTCAGGGTCCAGCTGCAGATCCTGTGGGTGGGAAGCGCAGAGGTCAGCAAGTCCATGGTCCAGGCATAGCCTGTCTCAGTCTGGCAACTTGGCCCACCTGCTGCCGAAGTTCATGCAGCTGAGAGAAGACTTGAAAAAAGGTAGCCACAGGCTCGCTCAGGTGCTGCTGGACCATCTCCTGTCCAATGCGCAGACAGATGAGGGCGATGAGACTGATGGTCTTCACACACAGGACAGTCCGAGCCTGGGCCCCACCTGGAAACCTAGAAACAAAACTCATGAGCTCTAGATCCTACTTCGTAAGACTCAACCAGTCTATGGGAGCTTTAAAGGAAAGGAGCTCCAAGACCAATTTGTCTAAGCAAAATGACAAGATGGAGGCACTGGAAAACAGTATGGCTTGCTGAGGGTGCCAGGGATCAGAACCAGCACTCTTTTCTTCTTTTTCTTTCTTTCTTTTTTTTTTTTTATGTAGAATATATTTATTGAGAGAAAGCAAGCTTCTGTCTGAGAGAGAGAGACAGAAGGGGTCCCGAGTGGGTTGCCCAGCACTCTTCTTTTCTTCAGTGCTGGGGACTGAATTTAGTGCCCCATTAATGTTAGCCAACTTCTCGACTACTGACCTACACCCCTGGCCCAGAATCAGGATTCTTGGAACCCAGCCCTGTGTCATTTCCTCTCCTTGAAACTCCCCAGTCCCCTCAGCTAGGTAGCTCCCTTCACAGAGCTGGGACAGGGGCCTACCCTGTGACGAGGGAGGTGAGGAAGCTGAGCACAGGCAGCAGGACCTCGTGGCTGATCCGGGGTAGGATATCCATGAGGGTCGTGTCTGACAGGTATACGATGATCTTCTGAGTCAGGGTCACTGCCGCCAGCAGTCCTGCCTCCTTTCGACTGTTCAGTCGGCTGGGGCTTGAGCTGCTACCTGGAGCCACCTGGGGGCCCAGAGTTGGTAAGAACCAGGCTACTGATGAGTCGCCAACCTCCTACTACCCCAGAGCCTGGACCAATCTGTAGGTCCTCAGACTCCTCACTTGGAGCCAGAAAGACCAGCAACTGACCAGGTAGCTGATGTAGGGCAGGTACTGGTAGGTGAGGACGGGCTCCCCGTACAGGTGGGCAATGTGGAGGAGGCAGCTGAGCACAGGCCCCGAAACTACGTCGCCCAGGACTGGCCTCTTCTGGTAGATGTTGCCGGCACTCAACGGAGGGTTCTCACCACTGCTGACCATGAACTGCTGCCGAGTGGGCCCTGCCAAGGAAGGCCCAGCAGCCTTGAGCATCTAGCGAAAGGCGGAGGAAAGCTACTCTCGCTCCCTCTCATGTGGATTCTGTCCTGGCCCTGGCCAAGGAAGGAAGGCACCAACAGATTGGAACCCAGGATCTGTCCAGGGGGCGTGGGAAGGATTCTCTAGAAAGGGCTAAAGATGGGCAGGGGCTTGGAAGGAAACCCAGTGTCTGCACTGAGCACAGGCTTACCAACATAACAAGATGTCAGCAGGCGCAGCAGGTTCCGGGCCACGTGCCTCGAGGCCACTGTGGGGCCAAGCTTGGCAGACAGCCAGCGGACCATCTTGCAGGCTGTATCTGCAGGGCAGGAGCAGGCCCTGAGCTTGTCAGATAGCGGTGCTCAGCACCCCTCCCAGGCCACCCCACTGCGCCACACCCCATCTACCCAACTTTGGCAGCTGCTCTCTTACTGAGCCCAGCCTAAGTCTGATGACAGCACACAACCCCTCCAAGGGCAGGGGCACAAGTGCCTGGTCCTGGCCCACTAACTGCGAGCAAGTTCTCTCCTTAAGCATGACCTGCCAGAAGGTAACCCTTCCAGTGAATCTTCCAGGTCCCTGAATGAAGCGAGGTCCAGCCTGGCCCTGGGCATATCCCCTCTGGCCTCTTTTCTATGCTGTCTAACCACGGAGGCCTTTCACTATTTCTGTGATGGAACCACAACAGCCTCAGCCTAGACTGTTCCTCCCAACTCCCACCCTACCATTTATGGCTATTTCACACTTCTCTGAACCTCGATTATCCCTATCTTCTTCATCTTCCTCTCTCCCACCCTCTAGGCTGGGCTTAAACTCAGAGCCCCCTTGCATTCAAGGCAAGCACTCTACCACTAAGCTCCATCCCCAGCCCCATGTCCCTGCTTTCAAGCAATGCTTCTCTGACCCCTAAAACTGGATCTAAGTCCCATTTCACTCAATCATGGCACTGACAGGTTCATCTACATAAGACTGTCTCCTTCTCGGCATCATCTGTGGTAGATGTGAAGCCCACCAAGGCAGGTTACAGCCATGCTGTATATGGATCTGGCTGGACCCACTGCTTGGCAGAGTTAGCTAAGGGAAAATCAGGGGGAAGGCCCCACAATACCCCCCAGATCTGAGGGCTTACCAAGGAGGATCTTCTGCTCTTTCCCTTCTGACTGCTCTGTGAGGGACTCCTCTTCCTCCTCTCTGTCTCTTCTGGTGCCGCTGCCCACAACTGTCTCCATGGATAGCACCGTGTCGGACAGCATGAGCTCAGATGCCCCAGTGACCTCCTCTTGCTCCCCTTCCTCTTCCTCCAGGACTACACAGCCTTCCTCCTCCTCCTCTTCCTCCTCAGAGCCTTCACTTTGCTTCAAATCCTGGCTGCTGTCACCTGACTTGAGGCTATTCTTGTCCCCTGGGGCACCTCCATCATCTGCAGGCCGCTCCTCCCCCAGGGAGGTTTCGCTGGCACTGCTCTTGTCACTCAGCCGACCCAGGCTCACAGCCTCAGCCTCCTGGGGCTGCGGAGACTCAGCTACATAGAGGCCAGCTTGGAAGTCCTCCGTCTCAGGGAGGTCAGCCTGGTCATGAAAGCTAACACCAGATGTGTAGTCTGGGAGCCCCAGGCCCGAGGCGGCACCTGGCTCCTCTTCCATTTGCATCTCCTCCCCAAAAGCACAAGAGGTGGGCCCGGTCCCTGGGAGCCCACTTTCCTCATCCTCAGTGGCCCCCACAAGGCCTTTGCTCTCCTCCTGCGAGGCCTCCACACCAGCCAGCACCTGCAGGACATGAGGCAGCAGGTGGCCCAGAAAGGCCTGCAAGCCCAGCCGTACCATCAGCTGAGCCACAAAGCAGTCAGTGTACAGATAGAAGCGGCCATGCAGCCGGCAGGGGCTCTCGTAGGCACCAATGAGAGGCTTCAGAAGGTACTTATTGGCATTTCTGGGACCCAGTGCCTTAGCAACAGGTTCAAACAGGTACCAGGCTGTGTACACTGCTGTGTGCTCCTCAGACATGAGTGACAGCACAAAGGGGAGCAGGATCTCCAGGCCCTCGGGAGTGATGTCATTTAGCACTGTGCCCAGCTGCTGCCACAGAGCAAACACCAGCTCCCGCCCCTGGGCCTCATCCTCCACATGCCTCGCCTGGTACAGGAGGATGAATCTGTGTAGCGCTGGGAAGTAGGGCGGGAAGGGAACCACAGAGTTGAAGGGGCTGAGAAGCTGGGCTGGGCTGGGCGGCGGTAATCCCTGGGAGACAGGTTTGTACTCAAACAGCGGGTCCAGCTTGCCTCTCCTTGCTACCACAGAGCCTTCAGATCTACTCAGCTGCAGAAGTGTGTCCAGCACGGGCTGCAAAGACACAGGGACCTCTCTGGGGTGGCACGCGCACAGTCCCCGGATGGCCTCGAAGCGTACATACAAGGGGGCATCACAGTGCAGTGTCCGGACTCTAGTGGCAAATACCATCTCAGCCAACAGGACACCCAGTGCCTGCATGTCCCTTTGAAAGAGGTCCTGCAGCTGCACAGGCGCCTGGACCTGAGGCTGCTGAGGTACCTCCAGCTGGCCCCCTAGTCCTTTTGCCAGGAAGTTGCCCATTTTCTCCAGCTCCTCCAGGGCCTGCAAAGGACTGAAACCCTCAGGAAGAAGGATCTTCCCCTCCTCACCTTCCCCAAGGTCTGCCCCAGTGGCTTTGCTCCTGCGGCTGAGTCGAGAGGCAGAAGCTGCTGAGAAAGAGAGGTGACCACCAGGGGCTTGACTGGAGGAGAAGCCCAGTTGGTCACCTGTTTTCCCAGGGAGGGAGATAGAATCCAGAGCTTCTGTGGCCTGCTCTAAGTCATCTTCCCCTGCCATGGGCCTGTCTCTGGTCCAACCAGCCTCACACGGAGTGGCCTCTAAAACCAATCTGCCTACGCCATTTGTGAGTGGTCGTGCGAGGTCTTCCCTGCCTGTGGTCTCCTGGATGGCCTGGACCAACAGCCGAGGGATGACTGGAGGCTCAGGGCCACGAGCGGGCACCCCAGCCAGGCGCTGGGGATGCGGCTGATCGAAGAGCTGCACCACACCATAGCTGGTGAGATGGGTGTGGGCATCTACCAGGTGCAGACACACATTCTTCTCCTTCACAGCCTCCTT